GCACAGGGCTGCAACAGTAGGAGAATTCAGGGAGATGTTAAGTATTTAACCAGACACTCTGGTTCTCAAATTCAGTATTTTATTACTATGTTTTGAAACTTACACATATTCTTGTATATGGATCAAAACAATAATGACACAAAGATCCAATAACGATGAAAGATATTATTTTAAAACTTAATAAAGGAACATCAATTTTTTAAATCAAATTTACCCAGATGCTAGGAATAGGTATACAATAGATTTAGTTCAGACAAGATCAAATTCTGCTGCCCAGGCCAAGGAAAATGCCTAAAACACATGTAAAATGACATGGAAATGAACACAGTAATCATAGTTAATCAACTATAATTTGCTTCCTAAAACAAATTGTCCTATGTTATATCTTTATATAAATACCTATAATCTCATGTTCCCTGACAAAAAGGGAAATCGTGGCAGAGAAAGATAATTCATAAATGTCCTCTTGACTAGGACAGTTAGACTGAGGTTGAGAGTTTGGATAAATATATTATATTGAGAGCCAACCGAGAGTTGATCAAGAACTGAGTCATCTACGACATTAGTGAATTGAAAACCTAAATAACATGAAGTAAACAATCTACTTATTGGTATTGAGACTATGAAAAACAAAAAGTACGGAAAAAGTAATTTTGCACGTGATTTTAATTTAGAATGAAATGAAGAGATACCAAAATAAATAGAATAAACCCATAATCTTATTCATGCAAGTCACCCACCTTAAGAAAGCCTTTGCCAAGTATCAAGATACATGTATATTACTATGTTTTCACAATTTTTGTAAGGTAAATGTATAACCTTTGCAACCAAATACAGCAACAGCAAAAATAAAAGACAAAACAACGAAAGAGAACTATTTATCACTGAAGCAAAATAACAGAAAAGAGACTGAGGAAAAAAAAACAAAAGAAAATGAAATGTAGCAATAATCATTGTTATATTAAGTTGCAAGGCACTACATTTCTATTACGTTTACTGAAAGACATCAAAAATTGAATTATCACAGATTTGTTACCAATGTTATCTCTTATGTTTCCTGCCATATTTACCTATATGAATTCAAACCATAGGAATTTACCCATTAGCTTTTATTATTTTTTCTAGACTCTTAATTATCAACTCACCTAATTTATCAGGCATAAAGGAGGTCACACATGGCCCCAGCCCATACTCCCAACAGTAGTCAAGGTGACTAAGGACAGGTCTTAATTTCTAATCTGTAGCAGGAGAACTCACTGACACATTTCACTGTCATTCTCTTTTCTGCCTAACAGACCTTAAAATGTTGCCAAAACCGGCTCAAATCCCTAAAGTTACGGATAGTCTGGAGAACATCACAGACTTAAAGAGCTTCTTTCCTTTCTCTTTCTAGCTACCTACCCTTTCTGTTAAATGCCAGGAAATTGATATTCCACCCTCACACAATATAAATTATATTTCTTTAAGGGATTACAGCTGTACTACCTGTAATTCACTGGAAATTCCCACTTTGGAAAAAGGAATATTAATAGGGTAGAACTGAACAAGGGTTTTCCTACAGACCAAGTATTATCTACTATAAAGAAGGAATAGATGACAGCCACCTTTGACCAGGTAAGCCACAAACAAATCAGTTTAAGCTAAGCACTACAAAGACACAGAATCATCTCCTCTGGGGCAGAGAAGCAGGGAGGCATGTTATTGAGACAAATTTAAATCAACCAGTGCTGACTAAATTTCCATTAATGAACTCTACTGAGGAAGGTGGGTAGTCAATTGTAATTAATTTACAAAGAAAACTGTTATTCTATCCTTGGTAATAGAGTATATTGTAATTCCTAGTGAAATAAAACCTTAGGGCAATAAAAATATGACCCTAGTGCATCAAAGAAAGCCTATATTTTGACATTCTAGCACATATAGTCTATATATGCTTATTTCATACAATTTAATAAGGATAATATTTCTATGTTTCATTAATAACCAGAGATGTATATTAAAAACAGAAATGAAAGTGAATTATATCATATTAATAGACATGAACATGCAATTCTACAAACAGACTCAATTGTAAGAAAAATATACCTGCCATCCCTGTGATGGTGGTCAGTGGTCTGACTGTATCTGGAGCGAGGTAGAGTAAGACAATGACTGCAAGCATGGCACAAACAAGAATAGAAATGAGACTCAGGAAGGAATGAAAGAAAAGGTAGAGTTCAATTTTTAAAGTGAGATTCAAAAAGATAAGCAGATAGTAAGCAAAGCAAATGAAAATTGCTACTGGAAAGCTTGTCCATCCCTCCCAATGTCCTTTGTAATATGTTAGTGGTAAAGGTTAACTTTATTTAAATATTCTAAAATAAAATGCAATAAGAATATAACATCGAGATTTTTAAAAACTCATTTCAAAATAAAAATCTTATCAGTTATCACTTTAATATATTTAGCACCACTGAGAAACTCTTATATTGTAGAGATACTTTCTTATGTTTTAAGAGGAAAAGTGAGAAGAGAAAAATAATCAGGAAGTTTAAGGAAATAACAAAAGAATCATTATGTAATACCTTTAATACTTAGGAGATTATATGAGATAGTTATTTCTCCATTAATAATTAAAGAATAACAAGAAGGTTAAAATTCCAGTTAATAAAGAACAAGCTGATTCAAATTATACTTATTTGATAACTAGCCATTAAGTTTATTGTATGCTATCCAATGTCCCACTCACTATAAAATCAACATAGAGTAACAGGCCATTGGCTCTGCTACATTTCGTGCCCCAGGCCTATCATACCAATCAACACACAGTCCTGTTAGTCATCTGAAGTTGACTCTCTTCTTTCCAAGGCACAAATTTAAATCTTTCTACTTTCCTCTAATCTTCACTGCCAAAACACTTATGGCAGGTAATGACTGCATTCTTTCAAAAAGCAATGCAGATAAACCTCGAACTCTTACAACTTCTGCAATTCTACACTAAATAGAAAAGAAACACACATCTGTCTTCTCTTCCTTGACTTCTGCACCTGAAGAAATGCCTCTGCTTGTAATTCTGCTCCTCACATCCCTTCCCTTCACTCATCATTCTTTTAGGTCTTCCCTTCCTGATTTGTACTTAATCTTAAAAGGAAAGCTTCTGCCAACCTTGCCTCCCTCTCAAGTCATTTCACCTTTCTCACTTTCTTTCATAGTAAAACATGTTAAAAGCTGTATCTTCAATTTTGTTACATTCCTTTCTAGGTTAAACTTCATGCAATTGACTTCTAGCTTTACCAGTGTACAGTTCCTATGAATGTTATCTGTGAAATTCTACAAATTCCGTTAGTCTCCCCTGATCTTCTTTACATTATACTTACTACTGTATCGACCTTGATTTCCAAACTTTTAATAGCTAATCCTTTCTTCTCTTTGTTTCTGAAACAGTATTGTCTCTAGCTAATAAATTCAGCATTTACTTAACACTTAACTACATGTCAAATACGCTATAAAAAACTTTGGCTATATTAACTTATTTATTTCTTCTAACAACTCTTTGAGATTCCAGTATTCCCACATTAAAAGTGAGGCCATGAGGGCTTGCTATACAGAGAAGGTAGCAGGATTTCAAATTAAAATTTGTAACTCAAGTTCTTAGTATTCATACAATTGATCTGGTCTCTCCTCCTTTTTGACTAGAGTCCCTTTCTCTATATTCCTTAGAGTCAATGGTTTTTCAAAAATAATTCCTTCATTTTCTTATATTCCAACACATTCTTTTGGGTTAAAATTATCCTTTTTATTACAGTAGAAACTATTGTTTTTCTTTAGCTTTAATTTTTCTTTGGGTTGCACACTATATTTGGCTCTGCTTCCTAGCCTTTCCACGTTTCCATGTAGACACTTCAGGAAAACACATGTTAACTGTGAGGCTCTTTGCCTATTTGGACATCTGGTGCTGCATATGTGAAGTGAAGAAGTTGGAGAAGTACTTTTCAAACTTCTTCCTGTCCTTCTCCTCTATCTTCACTTGATCTTTCTTCTTTTGAGAGGAATACCTCGTTTTCAAATTTATAGAAATCCAACAAAATCAGAATGGCTGGCTAAAGAGGTAAAGAGAAGCCTAGGTCTCTACACATTGGCTTCACCATTACCTGCCACAGTTGTACTCGAGGCACCTATTCTAAACCCAGGTCTATGTGATCTCTAAAGTCACTTTTGATTGTAAGAATAATTCTTTAATAACCTTTTTGGAAGTAATAAGGTACTTCTCCCTATCCACAGAAGTACATAAATGTAAATTATGCTTTCTGATCCCACGCGAGCACCTTTGTTCAAATCTTTCAGTGGTTCCCAATATCAAGAAAGAAGTATGAATTCCTCGGGATTTGTAAACTGTTTTCAGTGTTCATCTCCTATCACTTCTAATCCCCATTTTACTAGGTCCAACAGACTGCCTCAGTTTCTCTAAATACAGAATGTGGTTCCTGACTCTGACTTGCTCACTCTCACTGTGTCAAGAATACTCACAATCCCCCCTCTGTCTTTTGCCTTTGAGAAATCCTGCTCAATCTTTCAAGTCCAACTTCTCTTGGAGTCTTTTCCAATAAACCCAAGCAAGTAATTTTTTCCAATCTGTTCCAATATTATGCTTGAGCTTCACAGTCTGTTAATTTTATGTCAGTATATAACAATGTCTGCTAGGCCACCAAAATGGCTTTTCAAAATTGCTGTGCACAATACATGGTCCACTCAGTAATTAATATACTTTTGAACTAAAAATTAAAGTGAAAATTATATAACTTTGATGGTGAACTTCTCCAAACAAAGCAGTGTTTAATATAATCATAGAAATAGTCTAGAAAAGCAGATGGAAAATTATAAGCCTATGTGGGGTAAAAAGCTGCAATAGTATTCCCACAACATTCCCGGGTATAAAAAGAATAGAAATAATGCCCAACAGTTGAGATGTTGGGAATGTGCTGGCTATAAAAACTACTTAAGAGTAATAGAAATGTGTGAACTCCAAGGCATGTTAAAATTTATAATTTCATTAGGGTATGTACTATGTCATCATCTAGTTTCTAATATTTTCCTTGAAAGATATCAATAATTAATTTTGTCACTATAAGACCAAAGATATATTAAGCAAAAATCAATTTGTTGTATGTTTTTATCTTAGCCACATTAATTCTTAACCTTACCTGGTCATGAAAGTACATGTGCAAACATGACACAAAAATTGCTGTTCTATTTTACTAAAACCTCTAAAATCCACAAGAGCCATAAATGCATCCACAGTCCTTTGCTAAACCTAGTTGGCATAACTGACAAGTTATATACTTCTTCACTGAACCACTGAGCAAGAAATATGCATTAGGTCTTAAGTATGCATAGAGTTAAACAAATAGAGAAGTTTTATTAAAACTTGCATTTTTATTTAAAATTATTTGTGTATGAAATTAAAAAAATATGAACAGGGTAGTAATTCATTTGAAAGGGAAAAAAACAGAATGCTAATTTTCACTATTTTTTTTTTAAAATGAAATAAGCTACAGAATCTAAGAATCATGATAAAAATATTATGCAAAGAAGAGAAATAGATTACTAACTCAATTTCTCGGTACACTTAATTAATATAACCTTTAATGACAACACAAATTACTCATTTTCATTGTTACAATGGGTTATCCATCCACTATATTAAATTAGCTAGAATTTCTCCTTGTAGGAAACAGCAGAGACACAAAAAGCACTGCAAAAGGAGATAAAATATTCCACCCTTTTAAAGCCTATAGTTTTTGAAAACTTCCTAGTGATTCCCAATTTAATGCAAATTTAACGCTCTGTCTTTAACAGTGATAATGCTTTGCTTTACAGTTGCTGCAATACACTCAGTATGATTTAACTGTCTTAAATAGTATCTATTAACTGGAACATGTAAAATATTACCTTTATAAATTGAATTCTCTTTTTTCACTTACCTTCTCTATAATTTTAAACTTTCAGATGTATGTTAACTGAAACGATCAAACAGACTATTTTTTGAAGAAGTAATTATGAGTAGGTGTCACACCTTTTGATAGTTGGCTGTCTGATATAGAACATAAAAATGGCCTAAGAGTGTGAGGTATCTCAGAGGTCCATATAATAAGGCATTTTTCTTTTTAGAATGAAAATCAATTAATCAAACAAACTGGAGGAAAAGTTTATGGAGAAATTTATCTTCTTCTAGTGTTATTTTTTTTCTTACCATGCTAATGCTAAAAGTATACTTCATGTAAATAAAAGCACCAAATGTAAAAATGCAGGATATCTGTGACATGTTACAGAATTACTATCTAGTCCTCTATGCATATTGTAATAGTAATTTAGCTCATATAGACAATGCTAAAGCTATATAATCTTACCCCAGGAAAACTATGTTCCTAGTCGTAGCAGTTACAGAATTTATCAGAGAAAAACTGATACAAAGCGGGGGATAGAGGGGATAGTAGAAGATGAAAGATGTACTTTATAATTCATTGTTTTCACTAATATTCCTGTATCTAAGTTTCTCAATCACTTGTAAGGAATCTATTTACTTTTCAAAACGGAATAGGCTTTTGACTAATGATGACAGAGTAGGCTATGCAGAAAATCAAAGATCCAATAAAATACTGACATATTCTTCTACATTGACAATTTAAAGAATAATGTGAATACTATATCTTCTCCCTATACCACTTAAGTTTAACAAAGTACTATTATTAAATATCCAATAGCATTGTTTCTCATCCAATACATTCAGTGTAAAACTCATTTGTCTTCACACCCAACTTTCCAACATGGTTTCAAATCCTTCTCTTTCATGCTGGACCACTGCATTGTTTCTCTTGTTCTAGCCTGAATAAACCTGTGTCTTTCTCAAAATCTGACTCAGGTATTATATTCTACAAAAGTTTTGGTTCTTTTAAATAACCAATTTCTTGGGGGATCTTTTGCATAATTATTAAGAAATTACTGTATATGATTTGCAAGCCAAAAGACCCTTTTACAATATAACTGTAAGGCACAGTTTTTAAGTACATACAATACAAGTTTTTGATGAAATAATTATGGGTATTGCTACACTTTTTGGTACTTGGCTGCTATAGAAAAATGGAATAAGAGACACTGTGTCAGTTAATTTTCACAACCCTGTAAAGTTATACTAGTACTATTGCTTTATAAATAAGGAAATCAATTGTCTAACAGGTTAATTTTCCCCAAAATACATAGTTAACAAGAAGTAAATTCCTAGATTCAGAATCAAGCCCACTTGGTTCCAAAAACTATAAAAAAGAATACATTCAATAAAATACTAATATAGCCCAATGCAACAATTCTTACTAACAAGAAAAATACCTAAATTACACTCCCAAAGAAAACTCTGTCCTAGGCTTTTAAATCAACAGTATTATTGACTGACTCCCATATTTGTCAGACTTTTGTTGTTGTGACAAGACAGCTGACATAAACAACTTAAGGGAAGAAGAATTTATTTTGGCTCATGATTTCAGGTTTGGTTCCATTGTGGCAGGAGGACATGGCAGAGCAGTGCAGTTCACTTTTTATGGCCAGAAAACAGAGCTGGCTGAAAACAGAAAACAGAAATCTGGGCTAACTGGCTTCTTCTTCCTTTTCTCTTTTATTCTATCTGTGTCCCCAGCCTATTGGATGGTGCATATCCATTCAGGCCAGGTCTCCCCACTTAGTCAATCCTCTCTTGAAACATCCTCATGGACTCACCCAGAGGTGTCCCTTACAAATCTTCTAGTTATCAAGAAAAGGTGAGATCAAAAAGAATTAACCTAGAAGGTAACACACATGCACAGGAAATCAATGCGAGTCAACTCCCTGTATAGCTATCCTTATCTCAACCAGCAAAAACCCTTGTTCTTTCCTATTATGGCTTATACTCTCTCTACAACAAAATTAGAAATAAGGGCAAAATAGTTTCTGCTGGGTATTGAGGGAGTGGGGGGGAGAGGGAGGGGGCGGAGTGGGTGGTAAGGGAGGGGGTGGGGGCAGGAGGGAGAAATGACCCAAGCCTTGTATGCACATATGACTAATAAAATAAAAAAAAAACAAAAACAAATCTTCTAGTTATCTCTCAATCCAATCAAGCTGACAAGAAAGATTAACCATCATCACAACTCTATAAAACGCTATTCATGAAAATTCATATAGTTCTAGAATATTCTCACCTCCCAAAAGTATAATACCTTCAAATGCATTTTTTTATTAAAAAGCCTTATGAATATGAGATTAACCAGAAATTAAGGCATTATTGTTTAATAATTTGATAGGCTACTGATATGGATAATATTATACTTTTTGATATTTTATATGTTAATCAATGATGAATATTTTATTTCTATTTAAGTGAAATTCTATTTTACTTATTTCAAAAAGGGATTTAAGGCAGCTCCCAACTAAAAATAACTGTGATCTAGCAATCTACACTGTGATACAGCACCCTAAATGAGTAATGAAACCACATGGATCTATTTTCTCCAAAACATGTACAGATAACAATTTGAACATTTTTGCTAAACTGAAAGTTAAAAAGTAAAAAAGAAAAAACTCTATATAATGACATTTCAATTACAGATATAAATCTTGGATATAACTACATAATACCAAGGATTTATTACCCAAGCTTTAACAGCAAGTATTATAAATATTCATAAAACTATAAATATTATAGATTATTTAATGGTTGCATGTTTGTTGTCATTAAGACAGGACTTTTTTTTTAAATAGTGATAAAATACTTTGCATTTAGTATAAAAATCAGTTTTGCTTTTGAGTTCAATTCAATTTTATCATATTCTTTTCTGTAAGATTTAGGCCATTTTTACATGTCTTCAGTGAGAATAAAAGTCAAAAATTTTTCATTAAAATATCACTTCACATAGACTTAAAGGAAATATTAAGTCATTTCAGACTTTTCTCTTTTATCCCTCTGCTAACAAACCTTCAATGAGCAAAGGGCTTATGACATGCCATGCAAGTAATTTCCAGAAATGAGGAAGCTCATTAAATTCTAAGGCAACCAAAATAACTATTAATCCACATATTACCCTCCAGCTCCTAAACATGACAATGTAGCAATCCTTCTTTCATTATTGTATTTGATAATCGTTGCTTTCTACAGGTTGCATATTTATAATCATCCATAAAAGCAGATTGCTGTGAAAAAGTTAAATTAAAAAGAAGTAAAATATCACATCAACTTTCATTTGACACTCATACTGATATTTAGTGATTGCCTAATTTCTTCTTAGATCTCAGACACAAAAGCTAATATGTGTTTGGCACTATTGAAGACTTAATATATCATCTATCTCTTCTTTTGGAGAAGTATACTAAAGCACAGTGAAATTATAAGCATGAATTGATTCTAAGTCTAGATTCAGACAAAACAATTACTTCCACCATGTTGACAATAATTTTTCACATCAGTTTATTTTAAAGAGCCCAAGTGTTCTTCCTCACCTTATTTCTCACTATTTTGTAACATCTCTGAATAGTATATTCACCTTTCTTTCCTCATCTTACCTGAAATTCTTTGCTAGCTTGGGAAAAATATCATAATACCATTTTTCCCTAAACAACCAAAGCATTAGAGAGTTAATCAATTTTATTAACTTAAAATTAATAATAATTAATGTAAGCATTGTAACATACCATGTTACCTCCAAGTTTGTCACATTTAATGGCGCAAATTCAGAGAATTCTTTCAAAAACAGCAACCAACAGCATGATTCTTTAAGACGCTTAAAAGGTTTACTGAAAGCCATGAGGAAAAACCTCTTCATAAATCGTGATAAAATATTTCCTAAACAAACCAGACTCTCTGTCTCAATACTTCTACCTAAGAAAAGTCACACTGATTTGTCTGATGTACATAAAAGACTTCAAACTCTATTGTCTGGTGAGAGTATTTTACATATGACAAGGTAAAATAGTAAAAATCTTATTTTCATTATGATTATCATTATAATCACTTGTGCAAGTCACTAACTTCACTACTGTGATTTAACAAAAGACCAAAATTGCAAAAGGAAATTTTCTGTTTGTTTGTTTTTGGGTTTTGGGGTTTTGTTGCGACATGGTCATGCCACGTAGCCCAGGCTGTCCTGGAACTTGCAAAGAGCCCATGGTGATCCTGAAATCATGATTATCCTACTTCAGCCTCCAGATTGCTGAGATCATGGACATGGACTACCATGCCTGGCTTGGTTTTGTTCTTTTCTCACCAAAAAAAAGAAAGTTGCTTGTGTGAGTTTCTTTGGTTTGCAGGGAACAATGTGGTAGTTTTAAGAAAGAATGTGGACATGGTAAAGGAGAAACATGGTTTTGGAAACTACGACAAAGAGCTAGATGAAAACATTTTATGATAACCACTTCCTGTAGGCAAGTGGTTATAACACGGTCTGATAATACTCGATCGTATTTACCGTTCTCTCTCTGGAGAATAACGGTCATCCATGACACGATGTCTGTCCGTCCGGCTAACTGTATTATAATGTCCAGTAGAAGAATGTATCCCCCGAAGTCCTTGTTCCACTTTCCTACCAAAACAGCAAGACCTTTAGTGGAGACTGAGTCACTACAATGTCAAGTCCCGTCTTTTTTTTTTGCTTACCTTGTTACTCCACTGTCTAATGGTATAAATTTCATATGGAGAGTGACAGTTTATTGAGGAGCTTGCTGGTGTAACAATGACACAATTTAAGAAGAGTCCAAATTAAACTAATATTCCTGGGAATAAGATATGGAATAGTACAACTACTAACAGATGGCTCCCAATGAGCTAAGCTACACCAGAGAATAGATTTGTATGGAGAAAATGAACTCAGAGTTACACGTGTTGTTGGTGTGGCCCACAGCAATGGAGATAGAGAAGCCTCACAGGTGAACATGAGTTCCGGACTCAGAATGACTCAAAATCTACCCGCTCTTACCATCTCCTCTGGTAGAGCCCTGATCCAAACTATGTTCATGCATTTACTGTATCAGTAGCTTTCCAAGAATTCTTTGGCTCCTATCTTTAATCAATTCACCTTGACACACAGCAGCCCTCTGACACATAATTAAGATCAGGGCATATTGAATTATGGAATGAAAGGTAAACGAACTATAGGGCACTCAGTTGGTGTCTACTGGAGAATTACTTGGTATAGGCAAAACAAAAAACAAAAAACCACAAATGTCTGACCACAGAGTGTTCTGAATTGAGTGCAGAAAGGAGAATCCTTCACAAAGCATTTTTTTCACTGGGGAAAGATTTAGTTAATGAGAGTCAAACATTCAAAGCTAATTCTCCCTTAAACCTTAAATTTCAGATTATGAATCCTTTTCTATCAATAAGTCTATCACATTTAAACAATTATTTTTCAGAAAACTTTTAATAATTTTTGTCCCATTTACATTCAACATCTTCAAACATTTTAAACTGTGTTTGCAAATTTAACATATTGGATTTTCTTTTTAATTGCTGCAATTATCTAATTTAAGTAAATCTTTTTTTTTTGGTGCCTTATGAATTAAATGAAAATTTTAAATATAACAAATCTAATTTTCTTCTACATAATCCAGTCTATAAAATTAAGATTCACTTTAAAAGTCTAAGTCTAATATGAATTCAATTCCTTATTACATGAAGTTAATGATAAAGACTGGCACTCCAATGGGTGAAATTTTCTCAACCATCACACATACATAAAGCATGAATCGTACTTACTCTGGCTAGCTGCTCTGTACCTCACTAGGTTGATTAGAGGTATGCACTATATCATAAGACCTGTAGCAACAGATTTTCTGAACTACTCTTTACATAAATTATTTTTACTCTTTTGATGATTGATCTCAATTTTAAAGATGAGGCACATGTTTAGCTTTCCCATTTCTTAAATTACTCATGTCTATATTATTCATGAACATAATTAGTTGGTTCTAATTGGACATGATAAATATTTATATGTGATTAAATGTCAGTTCTTAACTCTCTTGAACTCTTACAATAAAACAACATGCAAATCATCCAAAATTACAAAATAATCAAAATTACAAAATAATGAGAATAATATTATTCTCATTATATAGATTATTGATCAGGGATTTATTTTTTCTTAACAAACCTTTTTACAGAAGAATCTATTTGTAGAGATTATTAATGATACTTTATGGTAAATAAGCCTGAAGTACTATGCTACAAATAAAACGTGCATGCTACCTTACCTTTGTGGAGGGGGAACACTGGGTGACCACGATCTAGTCCTTCCAATCACATCCACCCGGTGAGGAGACCCTGATGGTGAACAATGGTTTGATGACATCACTTGCTCTGGCACTGATAATGTTGAGCTTTGAAGATCTCGACCATTGTGCTGATAATCTAAAGGTGAAAAAATTTTAAATATAGTCATCTACACACTATGTCCTTTGTGTTTTACCCACAAAAGTAAAATATTGGAGAAGCTAAAAGACTATGTTAAAGTACAAAAGACAAAATATGCTAAGAAAAATGTAATCACATAAATTAAAAAGGAATGACAAATATTCAAACATTTGTTAGTTACTGTATTCAAAGTACTATGCTGTATAGAGTAAAAAATTATATATATATTACATATAGATATGCTAAATATTTTATATACAATTATTTATAGAGGAAAAATTCTTACACAATCATCTTCAATAAAAGACACAAAACTATTCTAAAAACATTTTAATCTCTTCAGTGACCTAGAAGAGTTTCAAGTACTTGTCAAGAATTACTAATACTTACAATTAGTAGGTTCAAGAAGAGTTCCTAATGTCTATAGTTATTTATTTAGGAGATAAGCCATATTAGGAAATAATGCCACTCAAAGTACATATTTTAATGGCTTTTCTTATAGTATTTGACAGAGCTGAGATGCAATGACAGAAGCTTGAGAATAAAAATATGACAAATCAGAGAAGGAAAATAACCCAATGATTGATGTACTCAGATAAATGTATTAAAAGAGATACAACTTAGATACTGGAAAGCAATTGGTGTGTACAGAGAGGGAAGAAAACAGAAGGAATTTGAAGGTTGTAGAAAACCAGCAGTTTATGTAGAAAAGCAGTGGGAAAACAAACAGGAAAGATAAGTTTGATCCAAGCAGTACACTGCTAAAACATCAGGGGATTTGAAATGAAGGCGAGATGCTGCACATTGCTGAGTGGGAAGTGATATTACTACCATCACTATTACCTTCACACTCAGTATAAATATTAGTAATTGAACTTTCATTCTACTGGGAGCTCTGCTAGGCCCCTTACAAAATGTTCTGCTAGATTTGTCTCAGAAGTAATTTAGGGGCTCAGCCGTCAAACATGTACTTAGCATGCAAAAGGCCCTAGGTTCAATTACCACCAATAAATAAACAGAAATAATTCAGAAACACTATAGGTTCATATGTGATTTTTCCCAGCAGCCAGAGCTGGTCTGACTGTAGGCCAGGGGACTGTTCTTTTGTGCCTCTCTGTTAGTCAGTCACTGCTCTGAAGACTACCAGACTACCAGTGGATGGAGGACAGCTGTGAATAGTTAGCAACCAAAGCTCACAGTAGCTGAGAATGCTGTATATCTGTATACACACACACACAAAAGCACACATGCACAAAAGGGTAAAATTTTTAGATATGCTTATGTTATGGTTTGAATATGAAATGTTCCCTACAGGCTCCTGTGTTAAAATTTACATCTGCAGATGATGGTGCTATCTTAGGAGGTTCTAGAAACTTTAGAAAGAGGGCTAGCAGGAAGAAGTAGGTCATGAGGGAGGATCTTTGGAATTTCCTTGTCCCTGGCTCCTTCCTGTCTTCCTCTCTCTGCTTCCTGGTTGCCAGAATGTGAGCTGCTATGCCTAACCTTGCCCTAATTGACAGGACAGACTGAATCCTCTGAAACTGTGAACTAAAAAAAAGGTCTTTCCTCCCTTTAGTTGTTCTCTCAGGTATTTTGGTCACAGGGACACATAGTAACTAATAAAACTTACTTACACACCAAATCTTTTATATATACTTACATAGAGGGAAAAACATATACATAATCACACACATATACATACATACAAGTGTTTAAGAATACTTATATTTAAGTGAAATAAATAGTAGTGATACAAGGGACAGGAGGAAGGAATTAGTATGGTTTTGCTATGATAAGACATACCACCTGTAAAGTACTATTTGAAAGTGGTTTTGCATCAGTTAAAAACATATATTGCAAACTATAGTGTACCTACCATAAGAAATTTTTTAAATAGCGTAACTTACATGTGAAGGAAGAAAAAATGAGATTATATAAAATGCTCACCTGAAACCATAAAAAAAGGAAAAAGAATAAAAGACAAAAACAGAAAGAAAGAACAAAAACAACAAATAGAAAATACTAACAAATATGGTAGATGTTAATCCAACTATATCAATAAGGTCTGTGAAGGATAATAGTCTAAATGTTCTATTAAAAGACAGATTGTCAGAGAAGATCTTCCAGGAACTAATAATTGATTACAGCAAAGTTATATATACAAAGTTGAAACACCAAAGCCAATCAATCATTTTCCTTTGTGCAGCAATGATCAACTGGAGTCTGAAATGAAAAAATACAGCACACCCTTTGACAATGGAATACTTAGGTATAATCTAGCAAAAAAAAGGACAGGTTGTATAAGAGGAAAACAATAAAATTGAGTAATGACATCAAAAAAAGCTAAATAAATGGAGAGGTATTTCAACTTCACAGATAGATTCAACATTGTCAAGATGTTAGTTTTTCTAAATTGATCTGTAGACTCAAGCAATCTTAATAAAAATTCCAGCACAATGTATTATACATATTGACAAGTTGATTATAAGATTTATATGGAGAGACAAAAGACAGAATAGCCAACACAATTCTGAAGAGAAAATCAAAGGCGGAGGACAGATTACCACCACTACACAACTTATTATAAAGCTAAAATAATCAGAAGGTTGTGGTGTTGAGCAAAGAACAAACAAATAAAGGAACAGAAGAGACAGCTGGGAAATAAACCAACACAACAATTTTACAGAAAATATAATATTTGAATAGTATGGTAATAATTAAATTATTTGATAAACTACTGCTAGAACAATTTATTCTATTAAAGCTATTGGTGGAACTTAAAAAGGCCATGAAGAAAAGAGACTGTAAGGAAAACATTTAACAAAATTAGTATTTGAGTGTTCAGGTTTTAGTTATAATTTGCATGTCAATGTAATTGCTATATCATATATTAAATTGATGAGCTATTAAAAGAAGTGACAATACCAGGATCCTGATTTTGATGTTAATAAAAATATAAAGATCCATTCAAATTTCTAATAGTGAAAGAATGCAAGGAATGTTAAACATATTATTAAAATATGTATACGTATGATAAAATACTCATGTCTCAAAATCACATGGGATTTCAAAATAGCAAAATATAGGACACTGCTTAAGTTTGTTCTCTTCAATGTTTATTAAGTGATTCACCAGATAGTCTTTGATAGGCAAAAATATAATAGTAATCATAGTAAAAATGTATTTTATTCGTTATGTAGAAACATAAAGAACACAGGGATTACAAGCAGGAAGCCAGAGCACCTGGCATATTCATTTATTTTAATGCTAAATAATGATGAATTATCCTCCCCTGCAAATACTATAAAAAACTCTAAAATTCTTACCTGATACTACACCAATTCCATCATCACAGTCATAGTCGGAGACTTCACTATCACTTATTCTTTTTGACCCTAAGTAACAAAGACAGCAATAATTAAAATGGATGATAGTTTAAGGACAAAATAAAAGCCTTCAAAACCCTGAAAAATAAATGAAAGGATTCTAAATGAAATACTTGGGGACAAAAGATAGAGAGAGAAGGAAAGTCATTATGACTTGCTTTCACACACATTCTGGGATGTGAGCATATGAATGGTGAGGAGTTAACAACTTGGGTAGTAATTATTCTAGATCTGTACGTTTCTAAATGCCTGAAAGCTTGGAATAATAGTAAGTAAAAAATAAGTGTGTACAGTATTAGAGGTCCATTGAGAAAGACTACTGGTAAATTAGTATTACTTGCTTTTGTACAAAGACATGTAAGTCTAGGTAAATTTCAAGATGATATGTTATTTTCAAAAGCATTAGTGTACCTTTCTTAATATACATGACTAAATTGGGTATATTCAATTATTTTTAATGCTCATGGAGAAATGGAATTCAGAAAAGTAAACTGACTCAAGACTTCTTACACTTCCTTTTCTCACTATTTATTTTAGCTGTTTCTCTATAGATTTCTGAAGGCAAGAAATAAATCATGCATAAAATCTATGCATCTAAATTCTGAATTGTACTATGTGTTCTAAGAAAAATCTAACACCACTAACAGTTATTATAATTTAAAAATGTCATCTGTGTATTTTCCCTTCCAAAGCTAGTCTATAACGAATTTTTAAAATGTTAATTCCAATATGGAAAAAATAGCATCAAACTGAATCAACTAGAGTTTTGATGGCTGAAGCAGTTATGACTTCAATCTTTTATGAGCTATATCATACGAAAATAAATGTATGATAATTTAATTTTTAGTGTTTTTTCTCCTATATGTATCTTGGGAATGGACAACACCCCACAATAGAATCTTCTATTTAAGCACTGTTTTCCTTCTGCAATACCAGAAAACAGTCAATGTTGAACAAAGACAATGCTTTTATATTTAAAAATGTCTTGGTTTGTTTTTCTCTTACACTATACATTATTCATCAAATAAAGGAAACTCAGTTTTATCAGAAAATAAATGTACTAGGTATGAGCACCAAGAGCTCATTATGCAGACAGGGGCCAAAGCAAAGATAATCAAAATGTTCCAGAAATGCCTTCCAACATTTGTAACCCACTCTTACAAATGTCTTATAATTTTTTTCTTTTGTTTGTATATTTGATTGCTTTAATCCCTGCCTTTTTAGGGGAGGGAAAGTCTTGTTACCAGCTACAAGTCTCATTTTCTCCTTTTACTGGTAGGAAGAAGACACCTTGTAATTTTAATCACATGGTCCCACCAAATGAACTGTTACTGTTATCTTCCTTTCAAATCCTTATGTCATGGTTGACGGAATGGCTCAAGTGGTAGAGTGCCTGCCTAGCAAGCCTGGGACCCCAAGTTCAAACCCTAGTACTGCCAAAAAAAAAATCCTATGTCATAAAGCTTTAGAAATCATCAAATCATAGGTTTTTATAGCCCCAGTTGATTTTGAAATAAGAATTATCTAACAACTTCCCCAAAAGACTAAGCAGAAAAGGATGTACAAAATTAGAACATACATTTTAAATGGACTTGGGTTAGGTATCACACAGATGGGGCTTTTGAAGAGAGACTTACGAGGGACTTGCTATCCAGTTTATAATAAGGTTTGATTTTTGTCAATGCTAAAGGATGAGGTTAATGGTTGCTGTACTGTACTGGGTACTTTACAGAGCATAAAGATTACAGGCTGTGGTATTAGCCAAAGATCAGATCAAGAATGACACCAGCAGAAGACAAAGTTCATTTTCAAATTATTATGTCATATATAGATTAAAACTCAGTGCAAGGTATTTTCTTCTAGTACTATAAGATATTTATCATATGTAATGTTTTATATTTGTAAAACACCATCAACTAAGTAATGCCTCACAATATCAGAGATGACAGAGCTGGGAAAAGTTGCTTAAAAGTTTCTCTTTTTTTACATTTCAAATTTATAATTTTTAATTAATTCCAGTTTAATCTTTAATTTCTATTTTTAATTTACTTTTTATTTACAATTTACCTAGTAATATAATATTTGACAATACAGTCTATATTATGTCAACTCATTGAAATTTGTTTAATAATGAATTATGGAATAGTATGGTTTTTTTTTTAATGTCTTGTGGACATAACAGAGCAATCTGAACTCACTGTTAGATAAAGAGCATTTCATTTAATCATGAATTAAACTTGGGATTTGTGTTCTTTGATTCTTTTGTATCTCCCAGTGTTTTTTCTTTCTTGACCTGTCAATGATGAAGGAAGAATTATACTGGCATCTCCTTCAAGAGGAATAAATGTGTTAATTTTTCTCTCTAGTGTTATTTTGTGTATATTTAAGTTATTTTCTTTAATACATGCCAGGAGAAAATTATTTCAATAGTTGCAGAGAAACCATTTGAAAAAGTTTAAAACCCACATTCATGATAAATATCTTAGCAACATAGTAAGAAAAGATGATAAAGAACATCTGTCCCCCAAAAAAACAAACCCTCTGGCTAATGACACACTTAATTATAAATATCAAATGCTTTCTCTCTAATACAGAGAACACATAAAGAATGTTCACTTGAGGGATGACCCTTCAACTCAACATCTCATTGCATGTTCCAGACAGGGTAACACAACAAGGAAAAGGAGAAAGGTATAGATCACAAAAATTAAAATTCAGAAAGGAGCTATAAAAAACTTACGATGATGAAATATGACTTTAGCAGTATCACTGTATACCTACTCAATATAAAGCGAATTATATTCTTTGGGGAACAGAAATGACCAATTGGTGAATTAATTTTAAAGCTAGTATCATGCATAATACCTCAAATCATGAAATGCTTAAGAATATATCTAACAGAAAATGTGCAAAGCATATTCATTCCAGACTACAAAATATATTCTACATTCACTTCCTAGAGTTGCTGTATAACAAAGTACCAAAACTTGGATTGCTTGAAATGACACAAATATATTGTCCTAGGCAGCAAGCAAGAACCCAAAAATCAAGGTGTCGGGAGGGCTGTGCTCTGTTGGGAATTGTTCCTCATGTCTTCTAGTTTCTGATGTGTTCTGGCAAATCTTGATGGGCCCTCACTTACAGGTGCATCATTTGGTTGCATGGCCTTCTTTTCCCTCTACGTATTCTTACTGTTTTCCCTCTGTGTTGCATGTTTGTCTCTGTGTCCAAATTTCTTCTTTCCATAAATACACAAGTCATATTGGGTTAGGGCCAATCCTAATGACCTTACTTTAACTTGGTTACCTTTGAAAGACCCAATTTACAAATAAGGTCACATTCTGCAGTGCTAGAGGTAGGGGCTTCAATTATCTGTTTTTGAAGGTGTAACTGAACCCAAACAACTGAGAACAAAAAAATCAAGAGTGTTTTTGGCAAACTTGCAAGACGTATATATTGGAATAACATTGTCAGGAAGTTGAGAGAAAATAAAGTGATTTTAGCACACTATATATATGGAATATATATATATATATATATATATATATATATATATATATATAATACATAGCTGAATTCCCCATTAGTAATAAGAAGAAATGAAGATATAGCTAGGAAAACAAAGCCTGTTTCCAATTCTTTACTGAAAAAATAAATTTGGAGCTGGAGATGTAACTCAGTAACACAGAGGGTACTCAGCACATGAGAGGCCCTGGGTTCAATACCCAGCACAAAAGAAAGGGAGAAAGAAAGGAAGGGAAAGAGAAAGGGAGGGAGGGAAGGAGAGAGGAAGGAAGGAAGGAAGGAAGGAAGGAGGGAAATGCAAAAAACAGTAAAAATTCCGATAAAATCTCAACAAACTGAATAAAATGATCATAATTATAATGATACTAATTTTTAAGGAGAAGTGAAGTTCTGGCAGTAATACGCTAGAAGGTAGAGATGAGGGTGTGAATCAGATCTAAAATTTTTATATGGATGAGGAAAAACGAGAGATGTTAATTATCATTGTTAGGTGCTCATGTTAAAATTTCAAAAACAGTCAGGCACACAGTGGTCCATACCTACAATCCCAGCATCTGAGAAGCTGAGGCAGGAGGGTTGGCCAGTGTGGGCTACATGGGAGACTCTGCCTCAAAAAAACAAAATGACAAACAAAATAAAGGGAAAAAATACAATATAACCAGTGTGTGTGTGTGTGTGTGTGTGTGTGTGTGTGTGTGAGAGAGAGAGAGAGAGAGAGAGAGAGAGAGAGAGAGTCAGAGAGGGAGAGACACAAAGATTAAAATTAAAAAGCAGAGTATCTAAAATAGTGGTAACATGTTCCAACTTGTTTTAAGAAAGGAAAAATGATACATATGAATGTGTCAGTGCATAGAACATCCTAAAATATACAGAAATTGTATTAGTAGCTCATTCACAGAACTAGATGCTTGAGAAGAAGCGGGAGCCTTTTCACTCTGCGCACTTTTAAATTCAAACATAAATAAGATATACTGAGAATTGATAAGTTTTGACGACAATTTCATTTTTAGATAAAAAAGAATATTCTCTGTGGGAGCATGTCCTACTCATTCAAGTTGGTCAACCTGACTAACAGATGGTCACCTTCATTGTGACTTTTCAATTTCTCTTTCACTTCCTTCTGGTTTTTAAAGTGGGTCTGATAAAGCAATGTCAGATTTTAGATACTTCTCTCGGGCCTGCTGGAGCACTCTCTGCAGCCTCTTCTAGACCTACAACAAGCACAGCTGCAGATCCATGACAAACGACACCTGTTTTGTCTATGTCACCAACAAAATCAAGGTTAGCTGGAGAGTGAGGCAGAAGGAGGTCCCCTGCTCAGCATGCATGTCCCTTCCCAACCCATTTCTGTCCCAGGGAGACCGCCACACAGATCTTTTTCTCATGAAATCCATATGGTTCTCCCCACATGGACCTTCTGACAGAGCCAGTCTTTGGTTTCACCAACATTCTCACTTGTTTTTCTGTCTTTATTCCATTACTCC